CAATCTGATTTTTACCAGCAAGAAGACTTTTTGACTTGGCCACAGCGAAAGAAACATTTGACGATTTTCAGGTATTACCAAGATCGCTCCTCAGTTAAGTATCCTAACAAGTTGCATGGATGGAATTGCTTTTCAAGAAATAGTTTCGATCAACTCATTGTCTTCGATCAGAATTTAACAGGCGTTCTGATGCGCAATCTCTACGAAAACAGTCTTCGGTCTACTGCTGAATATCAATTTTCTGAAGGTTTCACAAATTAGTTTCTACAAGATAGCAATCAAATTGAAATATGACAACTGAAATCAAGTTCTGCCATTAATCGCTACATCATTGAACTGAAACTCGACTGAAAAAGTTCGATCGATTATGACGGATAGACTGAATGAAAAAAAAAAGAATTCACTATATCTGATACTAAATTCAATATAAAATATTTCAGCATAGAAAAAGTCAAAGAGTTTCTCACTATCAATTTACTAGATGCTTCGTTTCTATTATTCAATAAGCAAGTCAAAATTTGTTGATCACTTGTAGCAAATAAATTTATTAAGTTTAAATTGGAAATATTATTTGACAAGGAAGTCTCACTATGAGCAAAAATATGTTCAATTTTGAAATCATATCCAATCGTGAAGTTTTATCCTATATATAAGTTCATATCAAAATTATTGCTTGTTGAACTAAGCATAAAATTGATTAATACAATTATCAAAAAGACATCCATCTAGTTCTATGCGATCAAGTTTTGTACATTCAATTTCTCTTAATACACGTTCTTATGGCTTCTTGAATAGCATAGTACTGATATTGTATTAATCGATAGAACATTTCTGCGACTTCTAGCAAAGATAAAAAACTGATACCAATCCAAAGACCTGTTTGACCGCCAACATCTGATAGAACTGTCACAGGTCCCATTGCTGGTATTTGTGTATAATTTTCGACCAAAATCGATTCATGTACTAATTCGATAGAGAGATAATTAGAATGAATATGTGAATGCCAATTAGTTGACCAATCCTTAGGTAATAAAATTCCGGAGTTTTTGACAAAATTTTTTATATCATTCATTAACCAATCGGCTGGTGCTTTCCACATTGATGATTTGACAATAAAATCTGTAATTGAACATTGCTGTGAACAATAGGAACAATATTTTTCAAGTAAAGTTGATGAATTCATCAGAACAATAGCTGCTTGAGTATGACATGTATCAGATATGTTACATAATGGAGCTACGATTATTGTGTCAGTTTGTGGTAGAAGAATTGAGCGAGCATTCCATTGTTTTGGATCGATGCAACCACACGTATAATACCTGTAATTGAATCAGCAAGTTCAATCATTTATTCGTATGGATAATATGAACATATTTACGTGTAAACCTCTGTGCATAGATCATAGCATAAATCTTCTGAGTAAACATATTCGACATCTGGATAACTATCAAACATCGCTTGCATAGTCGGTGGTATCTCATCATTACATGTCGTGTAAGGTGCACGTAAATAGAAAATAGTCTTCTTTGCATATGTCATTCGATGTTTGAAACCGGTGACCAATGCTCTACCAGCAAATTCAATCATAGGAAATTGTGTATTATCATGTACCATTCCTATCATACCAATGTCTGAGATCAAATAACTAAAAAATTTGAAACTTATCAAAGATTATTATACTAACCTTCTGTAGTATAAGGTACATATTGATGGCTATGTACATAGAAACTTAGCTCGAGTTTACCAGATCCACCATATTCATTGCTTTTACGAACATCCGTCATATTCTTCAATTTGGCATTGAATGTATAGCAAAGACCATACGAAGATGAAGAAAACGAAGTAAAATCGGATGCTGAACAAAGCTTACCATTAAAGACGCATTTAATAAGCATTGAACTCAATGGAAAGAAAAACCTAGTTAGCGACTCATTTTGATTGACTTTTACTCGAAAAAATTCATTAACATATTTGGCTTGTAGTAATGAAAATGATGTTGTGTCATTTGTGTTAGTGATATTCAATTCATTTGTATAGTTCAAAAATGGTATAATGAATTGATCATAACGGATACGTGCAACATTGCAAATAGTAAATGCTGGAAAATTTTGTGGCCATTCGCTTACTATATTTATTGATGTCTGTGTAGAATATTGAAAATATTCACGAATCGTTTGAATGACAAAGTACAATGTAATGCCACTGAAAATAATGAACGAAATCGTCCAAAAAATTCTATTTTTTTTACTTTGACTTCGTGCAATGCCTGGAATACCATGAGTTGATGTATTGAGAGCGAATTCTTGTATAATTGACCGCCACTCATGTCGTTTTCGATCAGGTTCAATTGTTGTTTTGTTAATCGGACAAACGGTAGCTACTCGCATGTATTTGTGAATAGTTTTTCTTCAAACTATAAAACAATCAACTACTAAAAATCGAAATAAAAAAAAAAAATGTTTGAGCATCTATAGTCTAATATCATTTATTTTTCTTTTTGTTAATTTCGAACACTTAGAAGTAAAAAAAACCCGAATAGATCGGTGTCTGTTATTGCAAATACAAATATGTTGGATTATGACGACGTACCAAAAGTGTCAACATTTAGGCTACTAAAGAAACTTTCTTAAGATTCTGGCTTTACACAGTCTGTGAGTACTTATGAAGATTTTTTCAAAAGATGAAATACAAAATAATTTCTTTCATGTAGTTATTCCAACACTTGCTTTCATGTCTCGAACAGAAACAGCAAAAAATGCCAATACGCCTTTATTTTGAACTTTTATCTTTTTTTTTATGATAAGGTTTGATGGAATGATCAGTTTCCTTATGTACAAATTAGAATGAGATGAAACTCAACAAACAAAAATTCTCATCAAATTCGATATATTTTATGAAATAATTTTATTAATGTAAATGCTGTATGTTTTTATTGAATGATAAAGCTTTTCAAAGTCTACGAAAGTTTATATGTAGTTGTTCTAAAGCTTCGTTATTTTTAGAGACAAATTCTTTTTCGAAAATATTTTTGAAGAAAATTCACCAAGGAATTTGATAGAACAATACCAGGAAAAGTTAACGGAAGCAACGTAACAATAGAAGCAGATACTATAAGGTTGCTTTTATCCACTATATGCATTCGACTTTTTTGCAATTTTATGTGACTTCATTTGTTCCATGAATTCACTCTTGATAACAAAATTGGAAGAATTCATATACGAATTATTTTCAGCCTAACGATGTGTTGACAAGATACACAAACTACTTTTTTTTTAAATATTGATGACAACCCATTGTTTTATGATAGCTTAAAACTAGCAAATCAATGATATCTTTGACGCCAATACTTCACCAAATTATCATTTTCTCTTCGTGCTATTCTTTCCACAATGCTTCAGTTGAGTGTACTATTTGCAAAACATAGATAGATCAATCTTTTTTCCACCACACTAATTAACTGTGCTTATTTTTAGCTCATTTTTTAAAATGAAGCATACTGGTCAATTATGTCTTTCATAGAGATTTTGTAAGTTTCTTAAAATATTCTTTACGAATATTCTATTTTCACTCTGAAAATATTGTTTTTTTTTCTTTAAAGGCAAATTAGATCAAGAATTAATATAACTATTAGTCTAATGTTCAAAATTTTCAAACTAATATGATAGTCATAATAATCTGATCTTGCTCGCTTCTCAGATAACTCTGAAGTCTACGATACATACGGCTGCTATTCAGACGGCATGCCGTATAAATGTCTAAATGAAAAAAGAGATGCTTCTGAGTAAACATTGGATCTCAATACCTGTTCTTTAGTATTCATCCTTCGGCATTTCTCTACTTAGATATTTCTATGACAACGGGTTAGACAATACAAATTGACTTGAATATATTGAGAAAGTTAGTCTCTTTTATTTTAAATAAAACTTTGCTCTCGAAAATTTTACCATCGATCAACAAACAATACTTATTATTAATGAAAATTTCGAATTTTACGATAAATTTAATGATATATCTTTTAAAGAAAATAGATATTATACCTATGAGTTGAAAAAACAGAGAAACAAACAAATTCGAATTAAGCTGAAACTTTTAGGAAAATCAATACAAAGAAAAGATCGATGAGACTCTTTGATATGCGGCGTGAAAACTCAGAAGATTTCGAGACTTCACATTAAAAGTCTCTACTATTTTACCTCAATGTGCGATATATTCTTTGCCTATCTCAATAATATATCAATCGAATGTGTTTTGCTAATTTTAGCATGAACATATACTTAACAGAAAATTTGAGTCTAGTTTTTTCTTAATTTCTATTTGAAAATAGAATCTTCATACATTCTTGTAGAACTAAACAAAGACAGAAATCGAATCGAATCATTCGACAACTTGTTTACCAAGATTAATTCCAGTATATGACTTAGGCTCTTCGTCTCTTACATTTTTCAAAACTGTATAGATTTCTTGACATGAAAGTTCATCAGTTCGGCTTTTATCCGTATATCCTTTTAATAACTACTTCTGTTTTCATCAGCTTAGTAAAATATTCTAGTTTTATGTAGTATTCAGAATTGTCGAATAAGTTGCTAATATTTTGTACGGTTTCAAAATCACCATTACAGTCACAAATAAATGTAGATATCATTATTTATTAGCTTTCTTCGTATCATGATTTGCTAATTGAAATGACAACTGATTTTGAAAATCTTGAGTTATAAACCAAATATCGAATCTTTCTAATTCAAAAGATAACAATTAGTTCACTGCTTTAAGGATATTAACATTAATTATGTAGATTGGAAAAACTAATACCTTTCTCTATCGATAATAACTAAGATTTCTTTTATCCAAGCTCAAGTCCTAAAATATATTGTATTTTTTTCTCTGAAACTGAACGTATTTTCGAAATTTATAATTGTTCTTTTGCATCATTAAATATCTCTCTCGATGTCATTGAATTATTTTATTAGTAAAATACTCAATATACACATAAATTTTCTTCTGTTCGTTCGAGGTATTTTATACTAAATCTATTCATTGATTGTATTAACGAATAGAAATTCATATGTACATATACTCACTTTATATTGACTTTTTCGAAATGAATATGCAATACAATATTTTTTTCAGATTGACGTTTTCTGTCGATCTCGTCGTCTTCTTTCTTTATGAATCTGTTATTTTTATATTTTTAATCTGATACAAACGTGTTTACCTTGTTTTCTTTCTGCATTTTAAATAAGTATCGTACTGTTTGCATAGTGCTGCGTAGAACGCGTATAATTAATTAAGTTCGTTTGCCATCAGCATCGTTTTTTCATCATCTCTAATGCTAAAATAACATGCATCAAAAACAAAAAATAAACAGTCCAACATGAGGTAATGAATGACTTTTGCTGATCAACATTGTACTTCGTCAACAGCTATAAAAAAGGGTGGTTCTTTGAGGTCACAATCAAGAAAGTAATATTTTTGTTGTACAAGTTCATTTAGCAACATTATGATGGTGTAGAATATTTCTGTTTATGGGAAACAATAAAACTGTATAAACATATGTTGAATACGAATGATGTTGTCGTTTGATATGTATCGACAGAGCAACATAAATGGAGAAAGAAATACATAAAAATTTAATTTTTATTTCGATTTTGCTACTCAACTTATTTCAGAAGTAATAATTCGTGTTATGGCCAATACATCGAGATTTTGATGTTATATAAAATGAATCATTTGTTTTTGTAAATGAGTGTTTTCGTTAGACATATGTTGTGAACATTACTCTATCGATATCTCATCATACATGTAAAAATATGAAAAGTCAAATTGTGACAAGATTATTACTGACAAACTAGTTGTTTATAAGAAAAAAAAACGCAGGATAACTGCTGATTTCTACAATTTGTCTTGCATTTTCCGATCGAACTTGTATAGTATACGTTTTATTGATATAAAGTTGCGGATAACTCTTCAGGAAAACGAAATCGAAGCAATGCTGATTGCTTTGATATTGAATCTCATAGAAGTCATTCTCTGTATTCTCTACATCGACTCGTTCGAAAATCAATGCGATAGATCATGTCAACACTTGAGTTATTCTGATTTTCGTCTTAGAATATTGTTCATTTTGTGATAGAAAAGAATAATAATCTTTAGCAAAAATAACTCAATACTTTGTTGCTCTCATCTTTTACATATAATTTTAAATGATATAGCCTACACTATCTTGCGATTGATTGATAAATTGAAATCTGAAAAGGACTATTTGTATGAATTGGACATGTTCAATCAGTTCTGATTGAATGAAATTTATTTCGTTATATTGTATTCATTTGGTGCCAGACTATATATGTGAATCGGTCACAATTGAGTTATGTTAGAGACGAAAATCATGCTGATGATGGTTTTATGTCAATTTCAGAGGAAATCGATACTCGGTGAACAACAGATTCGAAATATCGATGTCACAGTGTGATCAACAACTTCACATCCAATTAATGTCATTGGGTCATCGGACGAAGTATTTTGAGATCAAAGTATAACATGTTGGCGTGAATTTTGCCATGTTGAAAATTTACAAATAGAGGTGAATTCAATGTTGACGCTTTGAAGTGTTCATATGTGGGTGTAGGATATGAGTGTTGGTTTAGATGTGTTAGATGCAATGTCGGCATGGTGTCTCGTTTCCACACTGATTTCACACTAAAACCCACACACATACCGATACGTCCGCGTCCATATTCGACTCTTACAGGCCCACAGATCACTCTCATACCTACACATGCACAAATTCTAGAGCCTTGTTTTCGTTTAAGCATTAATAAACTTGACTGATATAATGATTATATATTTTTTTTTATCGAATATTATCTACGTATACATTCAGAGCAAATACTTCACTTGAAGACAGGCTCGCATTTGACTAAATCAATTTGCTTATCTTGACTTATATAAGAGGCTTACGGCATGGATCAACCGACATAAGCTATATAGTCGATAGTTAGAAGTCTTTTATCACTATATTATTCTGTCTTTCAGATATTCTGTCGAGAAATAGATCTAAGTACCCCTAGCTTTGTGGATCGCTTCTTTTTTACCAGTAGCTTTTAGTAAGGTAAAGAAAAATTCTATAGAACAGATTAGAGTCATTAGTTCCATACTTCAATCATATTGCAAATAGCACTTTTTACCTTTAAGATGGAGAAGTTCATACAAAGTTGTATTTTTAACAAGAAGTGTTTCCACGATCAAAGTCAATCTGAAAGTTTCGGTTCTTTACCTGCTCATGTAGCTATTACAATGTAGTATTCTAATATCTGGCATCATGTGTTTGGGACTCGAAAACCAAAACGAGACAATAATTACTGGAGTTTACGGAGTGTGTGTAGACACA